GACAGAAAAAACTACAGAGAAACGGCTCCTTACCTCGAGCAACCGGGCCACCATTGTCTGCACTAACGAAGAACAACACAAATTAGCTGCACAAAATACCTTTTTCCCAAACTTGGAGAGTCGACAGGTGAAAACAAAGCGCTACTTTCCTTCTTAGGGGTGGACCATTTGATTTTTGATGTGGGGGGTTGTGCAAATCCCCCCAAAAATATTGAGCATATGTTTCTCGTTAAAAAAAAATTTTTTTGCAGAATTCTTAAGAACGAAAAAAAAATCCAGCAGCCTTAACCTGGTCGTGGCAAAGGATTTTGCGTGATGCGTGACAGCCCCAAAAGTAGCTGTGAGTCACATCATACAGGACTGGGCATCACATTTTTTGATGCGTGAATTAGTATTTTGCAAGCGCGACGCATGATTTACCAATTAGATTTCCTATTAAAGTGAACCCTCCAATCTAGACGGATATTATGATTCAAAGATATTCATGCATTCAGATTCCCACCCTAACAGTTGTCACGTGCAGGTATTTTTGTAACAAAATAAGATTTACTTTATAGAAAAGGAAATGGTACAAACAAGAGTAAAGGCAGGCCACATTGAATTGGTGCAGGGTTCAAAATATACAAAGAATGTGAAACGGATACGCTGGATATGTGTACGAGACAAAAGACGATCAAATAGATCGAAGAGCATTTTTTCCCTCTGGGTCATTTGTGTTTTTGCAGAGTTCTATTACTTTTGTGTTCATTGCCTATTTTCAAGCCAAGAAAATAATAGTAAACAGTCTGTAGCACATAAATTAAAACGTAATTGTTTTAATTATTTAGGCACTGCATCTGCATATCTAGCCAAATTTAAATGTAAGGTGCAAAGCTTTAATAGCTATTTGCAACATTCTCATCTCCAGAGGGTGCAATCCTTTTGGTCAGCACCTGGAATTGATACCCCTGGCTGGTCCCAATTTTTGAGCATGTGCAGAGCACTCATTCTGCAGTTTTCAGGCAATCAGATTTGTCAGATTTGAAGAGCTAGTGCATTAAATGTGGACTTCTGGTAGTGGCTTTGCAGAGCAGCCAGGTCTCGATACTCGGTGCTGACCAAAATAATCGCAGCTTTTGGAGAGAAGAAATTCTCTCTATAAATATTTAAAATACTGCTCATTGTGATTTGTAATAAAAATCATTTGATCAATAAATAACAATTGAAATTTTTCTCTATAAATATTTTATGCAACAGTAACAATAAAAATGCAACAGTCCATAAGATAGGTCTATTTGAGAATGCTATTTTCTAAAGACTGCTTATTGTAAAATATTTTATGCAATAGTCACAGCTCCTATAAAAATGCAACAGACCAATATAAAGTTTTGTTTGAGAAGGCATGTATGACATCCACTAGCCTGACAGGGAAATCAACTAGCCGCAGGTTAGTGGAGATGCATTTCTTTGTACACTGAATAAAGATGAAACTCTTTATTACTTTGAAAGAAAGATGTAAACTTAAAAATGCATTGTGTGTAAAGGTGGTTTTTAATAGCCTAAAGGGTGAATTTTGAGTGGCTGGTGATGGTCAAGTTATTAAACTTCAAAATTTGTGTTTTAAATTTCCATTAAAAAAAATATCATGCAAGGACAGGGAGATTAAAAAAAAATCCTGCAGGGCTGGAGCAATAAAAAAAATATCTAGCAGTCTAAAAATCCTGCAACCCCCCCATCAAAAATCAAACGGTCCACCCCTTAGGCTTGGAAGTACAATTACAGCTGAATTTAAACTTCTGGCGATTCCATGTAACCCATTAGGCTATTGCTTCCGATTTGATTTGCAATGTTTGAAAATTCTGTAAAGATCAAACCTATTGTTTACCGAATATCAACCTCGCCGCGAATATTCCACTTCTATTTAACCTCGTGTTCAATAAAGAATAAAATTGCTAATTGTCCAATGTGAAGTGCCGAACAAAACATCAATCAAGCAGGAAAAGAAGTGTTCCACAAGATTCCCGCCTTCCCGGTCATGTCCTTGACAAAAATACTGGAAACCTTTATACGTTCTTTTCATTCCTCTTTCAATAGAAAATACGTCCACATGGTCACTTGAACGGTAACGCTTATCCGGGCCGCAATGCTACTTGTCCTCTTTCCAGCTGTTCAAACAAAAACGATGGTCACGCGGTCGCTTTAACCGATTTCTACCGTTGCTTGTAAAGGACCCTTTTGTGCTGAAGTTTTAAGCAGTTTCTACGGTAGGTTCTTTGTTGAAGAAGGCCAATTTATCAACTCCACATCGTCCCTCCACCTGTGCCGCCATTTTTTTTATTTGTTGACGCCGCCTCGCTTTGGCGCGCTGAATCGTGAAAGCGAGTCTTCCGGAAGTCAATCAGTTTACCGGAAACTGTTTCCGTGTGGTTCGCATAGTTCTAAAAATAACTTTTTTGGGATTAAGATATCCCGGCCAACGCCCTGAGTGTCCCTCTCTGTCCTATTATGGCTCTTGGTTGTACCATTTACAAAATACCGGTAAAGTTTTCGCTTTCTCTGGAAATGAAGCATCGCACTAGTAATCCAACAAATGGTACAGAAAATTAAGTTGTTTGTGCGGCGCTTGACGGGATCAAGCAAAACTAACTGGGAGAGAACGACTGGAGAACTGACAATTTGACTAACAACAGACGACTGTAAACTGTAACGACAGATAGATCGAAACGCACCAATTACTGATTACTAGTCTTCATAGCCAATAACATCGCAACGTAATTGACCAATCAGACCAATAACCAGGGTATAATACCATCAACTGACGTGACACAACTCACTTTGACTCTGAAGATGACTACCGCACAGGTTGTCGAAACGTCAGTCACTGTCAACATCAACACAACAGTCCTATTCATCCGGACGATCAAACTCGACCTACTTTTGAAATGACTCCTGGGTTCAAACCTTTCACAGTATTTATTCTATAAAATCTCGATTCTAAAGTAACAAACTGAAATCGTTTTTGATTAGAGCTCCTTCTTATTGTTATCAGTAGATTTAATACGGCTGTGACAACACATTAGGGTGTTAAGGGCCTAAAACATTCGAAGACGATAGAATTGCACGTTGTGACGTAAGTTGAACTCGCTGCGCATGTTACAAACACAAGCGCAAAGCCCGGGAACAACCCACGTGATACATGTGACGTCATCGTTTTAAATTTGATACTTTTTCTACCGTTTTCGACCGTCCACAATAAAACGATACGTGTCCGTTTTTGTTTTGGTCCACTTTCAAAAGGGTTTTCAAGTCGATGCCTTTTCTATGAAAACGCTAAGCGTACAACCTGTATTAGTGTAAACAGAAGGGGTAAACGCATCGAAATGTATGCGCTTTCAAACGAAAAGGTATCAGTGGGGCCTAAGAAACGCGTGGCACGCAGGTTATGATAATACCTACCTCCAGTCTGCCGGGGTTTTAGTATCGCCTACGACTACAACTTTCCAGCCGTCAATGGCAGCTAACTTCTTCACGTCCTCTGTTGGCGAGTTTATTGTCGTAATAACGATCCATTTTTCGTTCATTTCCTCATCTGGTGGGGTGGGTTTTCGTGGTATTTCATTCCAAACAATCTCTGTGCTAAAATTTATGTTTTCATAAACTGTCCTCCACGCTTTGAAATCCTCGGGGTTTCGAGCATCTCGGAAGATTGGAAGCTTATTGTTCGTAGCTCTACGAACAACAAAAGTTGTTTCTTCGAAGAAAAGTCGGTAGAATACGACAATAATTGAAAGCTGTAACGCCAGTGCTAATAATGTAAATATTTTGGACATATTACCAGGAACGCTTGGAGGAAACAATTTTTTCCTACCCCGTCTTTGAAAGCTTGTAGAACTAAAAGACTCATTGTATTTTACTACAATATTAATTATTTCACTCAAATAGTTTTGTTTAAACAGGTAAAATATTTCTAAAGAATCAAAAATACCGTGGAAACAAAACTTATTAATAATTGATCTCGACAGAGTGAATTTCTTTCTGGTACCGTGATCTTGGTCACATGTGGCAGAACCTAGACTGCCAGTGGGCTCTTATGTTTCTTTTGAGTAACTGTAGGATGCGAGGAGATGCGAGGAGCAGCTTCGCTTGCCGTGCGTGGTTCTAAGGAAAGAAGGACGACCGCCCGCTGTCTAAGTAGGACCTGGTTGTCAAAATTATCACCTGTGGCTAAAATATTTTAGCAGTCATGGCAAAGTGATCCAGAAAGGTCTACAATTTACTATATCTGCTTCCCCGCTCTCAGTTGTGGCCTGGGTGCTAGCTTTATTGGTTAGAGCGCATTATGTTCACTGGTGTAGCAAAAGTTCAAGGTTCGAATCCCTGCAAGCCTGAAAATTCACAGGCTTTTTTTTCCACAGCGGCGCAAGTTACTTATTTAACTGTGAAGATCTTCTCTGAATTTATTATACCCCACGATTAAAAATGTAAAAAAAGAACAGTATAGAGAAAGTTATACCTCCTCCCTTGAAAGAAATCATCAGGCTAATGCAGTTTGTGATACGTTTGGCTGGACTTACCGGACATGTTCTACTGAATCTAATGTTTTTATTTAAAGAAAACCAATCTTTAAGAATAATAATAATAATCATAACAACAACAAAAAAAAGGGCCCCATTTCCTGAAAGCCGATGAACTAAATACTTAAAAACAGTGTGAAAAATAACGAGCCAATCATACAAATTCAACGAAAAATTTCTTTCATTATGCAAGACCTAACAACCTCTTAAGGCCCAAATCTCTTTTCAAATATGAACGTTCCGATCTTGGTTCTGCCTCAGCTCAATTCTTATGACAAAAGAGTTCATGTTTGCATACATGTAGTTGCTCCAAAATCAAGTTTCTGGGAACGAGAAAAAAAATAATGTAAAGTAAAACAAAGTCAGAATAAAAATGAGGCTTTAGTTCTTTAAAGGGGTTACGTCACATTATTTAAAAAAGCCAAAAGATGTCTTCGTATCAGTTGAATGGCAAAAGCAACGGTCCAGTTTGGTTATTTAAGACCAGTATATTTATGCATCGAAACTGATTCTTGTTGTCTGTTGCAACGGATGGACGTGGATTGAAACTTGAAAAGGTTGGCCCAACGTTATTAAGTTTACTTTTAAAGCCATGTCTGCAAAAAGCACCCGGAAAATTATCATGGTTAGTGCAGCCTCATGAAGTTTGTCTGATGTGGTCTTCATAATTCTACAGGAGCTTGTTGTATATGGGCTAAGGGGACCTGGGAGTTTCTTGTTGATGCCGAAACTGCATTGTTGGTTCTCCTTTGTGTTGTGGTCGGAGGGTAGTGTTCACTGTCTAATTTTTTTGTATCATTGTAATTTTTATGGCGTTGTAATCCTGTCATTAATGGTGCTCATCGGCAACAACAATCAACTACCGGCCGGAGCGCTAGATGATTCCAGAGCGAAATGATTCGCAATCGAATCTAATGATCCGAAAAACCCGTAAGAAAATTTGTAAGTCGTTTAGAACGCACGAAATGAAACATTATCGCATAAGACAGATAATTTGCCGGAGGATGCTTTCCGAGTACTTGATGTCACCATGGTTGGTATGGTGTCACCAAGCGACCAAGGAGTCTGCCAGAAAAGGCTTTATATTACCCCTGCCACCATCAATCCATATTTTAGCCTTTTTATTTCTTTTGTAGACATGTATATATCTAGCCGAATATTTGAAAACAAACCAAGCGAAATTTGTAGCCGTTTGAATGTAAAGAGACAAAAGGCAGGTAAGACCGAAAATCGCACTAACGAAGGAAAACGAATGGAAAATAGCAACAACGAGAAGAAGAGAAAAAACAAATAGTTGCCCTCTTAGTTTTTAAATTGGCTACTTTAGAGATCGTTCTTGAACGAAGAAAAGCTGCTGGACGGAAAGGGATTTATTTGGCGGTGACGTTTCCAAAAATCGATCTGAATATACATGTTGAAGAATACTTAAAACGTGATTATAAATTCAAATATCTTACATTAAAAAGGGTTAAAGGGTTTGCTGTAAGCTAACCTACAAGGCAGGCGTTCCAAGGGAAGAGAAAAGGGGAAATTTAGGTGCGAGAGGAGGCGCGAGGTGACAGAGAAGCACGTTCCTCCTCGGGCCCCAAAATCTGATGCCTGGCACGCAGGCTAAACTCTCAAATGTACTCAGCGTCATCCTGTGGAACCTTACATGACTTACATGCCGACTTGTGAGTCTAACGCATGTAAGTAGTGACGATTAATATCTTCACATCATTTCGTAAAGAACCTCGATACAGATCTACGGCCTGCGAGCAACTTCTCCAATTATGGCGAGCGAAGCAAGCAGAAAGAGAACGCGCGAGTGATCGGCGAAGCACTAGCGTCTCCTTTTGCGTGTGGCTCTCGCGTGACTTCTTGCAACTTCCCCAAATGGAGAGCTTGCTTGCAGGCTACACTCATCTAAATCGCCGCTCTACGAAAGAGACGGGGAATGAGCCGAGTTAACTACCACAAAGACTCCTGGGACAGTTACTAGAGACAGAAAAAAAATTGGTAAATAGGCGGCTTCGAGACGCAATTCGCCTCCAGTTGCCTTCGCATTTCTAAAGTGACAAATACAGTTTTTCAGCAACTCCACCAACACTTGAAGTAAAACGCAGCAGGTACAAAATGATAGCTTTTAATGTTTTGATCAACTAAATTTCTGATTATTCTACCACCGTACCATTTGCCGTTGGATATAAACAACAAAGTGTTGCAATTTAAAATCTACATCTTAAAATTGTCCGCTTAATTTTTTTTAGCAAATCACCGTACTGGAATCACCAGAATTTTTGTGGGGATTACTTTTTAACACTTTACAATTAAGAGTTTATTAGATAACCTAAGACCCTTTACGTCCCAAGAGAGTTGAACTTCAAATTTCTCCAAAAACAAATTCGGCACAACAATACATAATAAAGAAAAAAAGTTAAGAGAATTCTTAAACTGGTCATCTACAGAAAAATGCTTCGATCTTGCATCCCAGTTCAGAGAAATTGCATGTGGATATTGGGGCTTAAAAGGCTAACGAACAATGATCGGCTTTTTGTCGTCAAAGAACTAAAGGAGTTCGTAGAGGACGAAACAGTTAAAAAAAAGGTTTGATTTACTTTTCTCAGAAATAAGGTTGACTCATTAATTCACGCGATTATTGGAATTACGTTTGGAACTAGAACTGATGTTACGGTGAATTATGAGTGGGCATTTTAAGCTTCTCATTTTTAGGTGCCTCGGTGTTTAGGCCTGGTAGGTGGTTGAAGATACGGAACCCCCGTGCCCAGTCCAATTAGTGTGCACAAATTTGCCGGGGTCACTCAGCAGTTCATAGGTATGGGCACCAAAGTAATCACGCTGAGCCTGCAATGACAAAACACAAAAGAGAGAACGTTCAGAGAATCAGTGGAAGTCGATAATAAGTAACACTGGTGATAACAAAAAAAAAAGAAATTATGTATTTGACCGACAAGCCTGGCGTCATAACAACGTTAATTTCCCCTCAGCGCAGAACAGAATAGCAGTGACTCAAAGGAAACGCCAGCTTCTCAATTCTAAAGTAATCTCCTTCTAAAGAAGTATACCAGCATCTGGAACGCGACAGAGCTTTCCGCTCCCGTACTGGAACGTTGACGTATTTCCGTTTCTTGCTTCTCTCCATCCGAAATAAAGTTACTTTTCGAGTGGAGAGAAATTACAGCCTGAAATGCGCCTGTATTCGCAGACTAAATCTCTGTGTATCAGTGCTGAATTCAAAACTATGCGGACCATTCCTAGAAACATCTTATCAGAAGAAGTTGTCACCACTCCTATATACTTTCAAAACGTACCTGAATAAGATTGGCAGGAAGGCGAGCCGACCTAAGAGAATTGAAAATGTAGGAGAAAATGAGTGAATAAACGAAATCATTGAGAATTCTCCCAAATTCATTTAATAGACCAGTTTCGAAATAGACTGCAAAACAGTGCGTAATTTTGCGCATTCAAGTACGTCCGAGCAGCCAAACAAAAGGTCTGAAGCGAGGCTGAAAACGGAAGGCGAGACAGGGGAGGCGTGTAAGGCTCGCGCGCGCGCGCGCACGAGAATCTTACGCTACGTTAAACCGATTTTGAGAAAAAAAGAACCGATTGTTTTGTAGTCTAGTTTCGAATTAACAAAATACATACTTGTCTCAAAGACTGCGGAGAATAAAACAAAAGAAATGAATAATATAGAATTTGGCAAGGGCCTATTGTATTGTAGACTTACAAAAGTCATTTATTTTTCCTGGTTGATTATGCCATTCACGAAGACTTTTCATACCTGTCTGGCGCGAAATTCACCGGTGACGAAATGATAATTGACCAGTAGGAGAGTGAGTGATATTTGTCGCAACTGCGGACACAGCACATGTCAATTTTTTCCGCGTGAATTTATAATATGATTCACATCCATTCAGATGAAACAAGCTTTGTCACGACGTCATTAGAGCTCGCTTCGCTCTTTTAACAGTGCAAGAACTTTCTAGCGAGTCTAACTGTATTGTTTCTCTCACCTGTATCCATCGTAGAACGCTAGGGCAGTGCTGAATGCTGGGGTAGGTATCCCAAGAGTCACTGCGGCAGCCACGACCTTCCGCCAAGAATCCTACAAAAAAATACAAGAATACGTTAGATCATAAATACTTGGATTTGCACCGGAGGGATTTAACTGCAGCACTTAAATTACCTGGCATTTGTGAATAGCGTCCTTGAAGAAATCATCTAGCAAGAGATTCTGAAGATCAGGATTCTTGATAAATGCATCTTTGATATTTCCCAAGAAAGCACTGCAAAAATGAATAATAAAGGACAATTAGACACATCTATACCTCAAGTAGTCTGCTACACACCCGTTTTTAGTGTCGTCACGCAACGCTCCTCCCCACTCCCTGCGTGACGACATTAAAAACGGCTGGCTAGCAGACTATGCCTCAAGCGTTAGTCATGAAACTTTCACGAATCAGGCTATGGGTATGTTGTTGGCGACAAAAAACAGGAAGTGGGTGCTCAACAAAACGTTGACCCAAAAGCGTAGACCTTTATAATACAAAGCTTTAGACGTTTAAACTCATTGTCAAGTTTTTTACTCTGAGAATAGACGAGCGAATTAATGGCTTTGGGACTGTAATGTAATGGAAACTTCTTAGACACCCCAGTTTGGTTTACCGTCATCTCGCCACCAAAGAAATCACCACCACCTGACAACTCCGCAATAATTGACACTGTTTACTTACCTAGGATTGTCACCTTTTTCTCAAACCCAAATATAAGTTTATCAATTTTAATTGACACCTTGCGTCGAACTTCTCATCTTTAGTTTTGTTTTTTGGTGAATAATTGCGACTTTTTAATACTTTAATGCGGATTATTCGTATCGCTCGAGAAGTGCGATTTGTTTAAAGTTCAACAGACTTTCTTATAAAAGTTGGTTAAAATTGTCACTTGAATGAACCATACCTCCTTAAATGTTATTGTAAATTTAAAGTGAAAGACTTCTTTTAGAGACTTGTCCTTTCGATAAGTATTAAGATATACATTTCTTGGTGGCGAGGAGACCGGATACCATCAGTTTCTAGCACCTCCCGTCTGTTAGACTTTCTCAAAGCCCGTTTCCTGTTTCTGCTGGTTCTCCCAAGGAATCTTTATCCACGCACATTTACCTTCATTTACTAAGCTCCTAATGATGCAGCCCCCTTTTAGATCACTCCAAATCAAAATCCCTCTACAGTACCCTCACTGTGCCTATGACCCCACCCAACCCCTTCCGAGACCTTTTCATTTACTAACCTCCTAATAATGCAGCCTCCTCTCCACATAAGTGCAATGCCGCCATAGTTCAGCGTCCACTTAAACTCCTTGGCAGCTTCCCTCATCAGCATGAAGCCTTGTGCATAGGACACAATCTTGGATGCGTACAAGGCCTGTTTAACGAATAACATAATACAGTGAATTTTCTTTAAGCTGAACTCTTTAGGAGCAGTTGCAACTGAGAGACGTGATCCGTCACCTCCTCAATTATGGAGGAATGTCCTGTATTTCTACTTTTCGAGCCAGTAGATAAAATGTGTGACCATTCATATGAAACCTCTTCAGCAGTACTTTCACATGGTACTATTTATTCAGTATGTATTTCTAACTTTTGAGTCTGTGGATGAAATCCTATGGTGTTACCATTCAAATGAAACCTCTTCAGTACTACTTTCACATGGTACTATTTATTTAGTATGTAGTTCTAACTTTTGAGTCTTTGGATGAAATTCTATGGTGCCCGGGCTATGGTGTTACCATTCAAATGAAACCTCTTCAGCAGTACTTTCACATGGTACTATTTATTTAGTACAGCCATATGTAGTTCTAACTTTTGAGTCTGTGGATGAAATCCTATGGTGTTACCATTCAAATGAAACCTCTTCAGTAGTACTTTCACATGGTACTATTTATTTAGTACAGCCATATGTAGTTCTAACTTTTGAGTCTGTGGATGAAATCCTATGGTGTTACCATTCAAATGAAACCTCTTCAGTAGTACTTTCACATGGTACTATTTATTTAGTATGTAGTTCTAACTTTTGAGTCTTTGGATGAAATTCTATGGTATGTCATTCAAATGAAACCTCTTCAGCAGTACTTTCACATGGTACTATTTATTTAGTATGTAGTTCTAACTTCTGAGCATTTGGATGAAATCCAGTGGTGTGACCACTCAAATGAAACGTCTTCAGCAGTACTTTCACGTGGTACTAAATGATGTACTGTCAAAATATAGTTTTATCATTTGGGTCTATGGACGAAATAAAAGTTTACTGGACTGAAATTGAGCCAAAAGGAGAAACTATGCAGTCCATCCCCAGTCTCTTCCCCTGGCACCCTTTCAATTCTTGTTACCTTTCTAATATGTTCAATGAATTCCTTTTTATCTCCAGTGTATTTTGTACTGGATGGACCCTTAAGCTGGCTGCTGGCACTGACACGTTCAGCTTGAAGTGATGAAAGACAGCGAGCAAACACAGATTCACCTGAGAAAAGAAAGGTTCAAGAGTTAGTGTGATGTTGGTGTGAAGGTGTCTCAGAGGCAGGACTCTGCAAGCAGAATTGGGTATTGAATTTCTAAATTGTCAAAACTGCAGACCTGCCTAACAGGGTCCTTATTAAAAGGTCTAGCTGGACCCAGTTGTTTAAACTTTGAATGGCAGTGTCCAACAGACAAATAATTTTTATGGGATAACTATTAGGGAGACCATATACACTGGATAGACATTATCCAGTGGATAGCGCTACCACCTTTGCAACAAATGGTGCCTGGTGGCGTAGAGACATCTGCTTGAACTCAAACTAAAGATCATGTCCCAGTTTAACGCCCAGTTGTTTGAACGGTGGATAATTCTTTTCGCTGGTTAAATTGCTAATATCCAGTGGATGGCTCAGTTGGTTTCCCTAATACTCGTGAAATGGATAGGCATTTATCTGATAGTACACAACTTTCCCTAAAGGGGAGGTGAATAGTGGTGGATATAGAGCGAGACGCAAAGCGTCGAGGTATATATCTAGCGCTGTTCACCAACCCTGAGGGGGATAGTTGTTTTAGTATTTTCCAAATCAGTTGGCTAAAAATGAAAAAAGTAACTGTTGTAAATTAAAAACCTCATTTAGTAGGAACTTTGTTTGTAACAATTTTGTCAAGTGCACTTTTTACAATTTTGTTGCAAATTCATCATGAAAATAATTTTCTACCTATCAGTACACACTGAGAAGCCAAAGTTTGTCGCCATCTTGGCTCCGGTCGCAAAACAGTGAATAGCCAAGGATATTCCATGTTACGAGAGCCAACCAAAACGCAAAAATTGCTATTCACTGATAGTAAATACTAATTAGTACTGGTCAATCTTTTAACAACCAGAGCCAGTAAACTAACGTTACTGAATGTCAAATCACATCAAATACACGTAGCAGAATTTTAAAACATGAACTCACCTATGAGAGTTACTGGCATTCCATATTCTAAAGCTGATATTGCGGTCCATTTTCCAGTTCCTTTCTGATAAACAAACAAGGTAATAATGATACCAGAAAGATAAGCCCCCAAAATCTCAAAAACATTCAGTTTATGGCTGGTGCACAATATACCAAGTGAATAGGAGGTCTCAAGTTTTGTCACAAAGAATGCAACAATGATCCCTAGCGCTTGCACAATAACTAGGGCTGTCGCTAAGATTTCAAGTAGCCAGGTAAATGCATTTAGTAGGTGGGAAACTGAACAACCAGGAAGTTCTTTTGGTCCCATTTTCCTTTTGTTTCCTACAAAAATAGGCAGGGGTCATGCTCACAGTAGCCAGTGGAAATCCTCAACCCCCGGCCCTCAGTGAGAGCCCTGAAAAAAGAATGACACAGTAGGTTGGTTTATTGAGCATAACCCCAGTTGACCCACTTTACACTTAATAGTCCTTCACTCTCAGTTACATAATTGGATCCTTGAGATAGAAATGAAAAGGGCATGCCACTCACTCAATAGATTCCAAATGGGCTCTGTTTGAAACAGTCCTACCTGCCTTCAACTACAGACAAAGCCCATTAATACAGACACCGAGGGGGTCAATAGAACATGTCCATGTTAATGGAGAATCTTTATTAAGCAGGTTGAATTTGGAGAAAATGTAAGGAGTTTCTTTCCCCGAGACAAAGCAAACTGGCTGTAATAATGAGGTGTCCATATCAAGCGGGTGTCCACAAAGCAGGGTTTGACATTACCTACTAGAATAGTAAATACATTGATGTAAATAATTATTGCTATACCTGGCCAGCAGAATCTCTTATTTTTTCAACAAGTGGAGTACCATCAGAATCCTTGAAAGCAAGAATGTCCTTCGTAATTTCTATCAGGAACGAGTCAAGTTCTCCCTTGTTCCAATCAGCAAATACCTAAAGTGAAAAAAAGAGAATTACTGCATTATTGACAATGCACAAAGTGTTTCTTGTGCCTTTAGGGTTGTCTTCAGTCCGCAGGTGCATAATGCGTGACAGTTGGCAGGCATACAATTAACTTTTTAAAGTAACTTGCCCGATGGACAAAATCCCACAACACGCCATGTTCTACCCATTTATAAGTAAACTAGTACAAGATAGTATCCAACTGTCATGGGTCAACAAAATTTTAGAACTGCTTTTCCAAAGGACAAACTGGGTTAGTACACATTTCTCAATGAAATACTGTCATCTGTGATGAATACACCATACCTGACTCATTTCATCTGCTGACATTCCGAGAGCATTTTTCATAAGGTGATAAGCTTCACAGATAAGCTAAACACAAGGAATAATGCTTTAGGTCAGGAAACTTGAAAACATAATTTCAAAAGTGTGCTACCCACCCTTGAAGTAATTTTAGTTTATTTCTTTGTACAAAAGCCACCATGTTCAAACTTCTGGCTTGAACCAAAATCACTGGAAGTCACATTTAACAGAGTAAGACAGGGTTCTCCAGGCCAGAAATATTGTCATCTGACAATGACAGAGGTGAAAAAGCACTCGCAGAAAATAATTTGCTCAATGGCTTTTCAAAACTTTTGTTTGCCAAAGATTAAACCAAACATGTGATATAATGGGGCAAATGTTGGTAAATGATGTGGTTAAAATTCAGTCATGGTCACTTCAAAAATGCTTGTCACTACATTTAATGTAGTGACAAGCATTTTTCAGGGTTCCCAAATTTAAATTCCCCAAGGACAATCCCTGTTAACGTCTACACATGGTTGTGCCATGTGAAAGGCATTCTGTATCTTTCTACCTACAGTGCACTCTATGCCTTGAACTTACTTAAAATTTTTTATTTGTCATGATGATAATTAATATGTCCAAATGTAAGCATTAAAATGCTGCCAGATGCTGTGTCAAAACTGCTTTAATGTTAGAAAACAGAAAACTATAAGTGATGGCATGATCATGTGCCTTCAGTGCATATGCAAGGTGAAAATCCAGAATGGAGTGGACATTACAATAATCATGGCTTTTTTTATTTTTCATCATCATTTGGCATTATTAGATACCTGCATATCTCCATACTCAATTCCATTGTGTACCATCTTAACAAAATGTCCTGCACCATCACCACCAACCTGATCAAAAAGAAAAAAATTCAAAAAATGCACACATAATTAGCAAATAACATTTTTTAAATGTGAATGGTGTTTATGCAATACAACTTCAAGTGTAGCAGTGACTGCTTTTAAGTGAGTCAATTTTAACCCTTTAAGCCCTAAAAGTGACAGGAACAAAATTCTCCTCGTGAAAAACAGATACCGTATTTATTCGACTATAAGCCGAGCGATTTTTCCACAAATTAAAACTGAAGTGAATTAAAATTTGGGCTCTAGAGGGGGTCTCGGCTTATAGCCGAAAGTTTTTGAAAAAAAATTTTTTCTGGCGCATGGAAACTGTACTAAATCGAGATGTATTTACGTATAAGCCGAGCTAAAGTAAAGAAACACACATATGCAATCGTTGATTTTTTTCCGAAAATGTTAGGTTTTCCCGTAGTTACCAATTCAGTCTTGTAATAATGAATGGGTCTCGGCTTATAGCCGGGTGTTTTTGATTTATTTTTGGTTCTCGTTATGCCGAGTCTACACGTTCAAAGTTTGGGGTCTCAGCTTATAGCCGAGATCGGCTTATAGTCAAATAAATACGGTAAGTGATGAGTTTTAAGAAGATGATCACGCAAGATACAATGAGTTGATACTTTAACAGCTTTTCACTACATCTTTTATAGGAAATATGTAAGGACAGCAAATGGGTATTTGAATTTTGATATTGGAGCTTTAAGGGTTAATCTAGTATACACAGATTGTAAGAGGGACCTGCAGTAGCACTACAACTGTAGGCCATTAGTTCTTGATTAAAAATCAACTGAATTTCTTAAGACGTCTGAATGTTTTACAACTACTTCAATTCAATTCCTAAGTGCTCTCAAACTTTGCAACTTTACTGATTTTAAGGCACTTTTCAGGTAGTATTATGGATTTTCACTAACTAGACAACTTCAAAAGTTGTAAAAAACCATGAAGGGGTCTTTTGTGCGATTCTCACCCAGTCACAGCAAGGCTCAGAGCCAACTTTTGCAGCTATGGACTGGAATATTGGCTTGATGTGAGGCCTAAAAACAAAGATGATACAAAGGTAATAAGCTTTCAATGATACATTGGTGATTCCTAATTGAACAAGGATGATTCAATACAATGAAATATGGCTCATTGACAATCATCATTTTATAAAAGATCACACGGATCAGCTCTGCATTGTTATAGCTAGTAATGAGATTAAAGGACCCAAAAAATCCCTTGCCTTCTTTAGTAAAAAATTCAATAGTTTTTGGTTATTTCAGTTTGATATACCAATGATCCAAAAGTGATCTCAGATAACTTTTCAGCCATTGTTATTGGTTGATCTGGATCATCCTTTGAGAGTATTAAAAAGATTCCATTGGGATGATTCAGATAAGGATCAGTGATCCAAGCTCATCCAGTTGAAAGGAAAAGTCCATCCTAGTAAAGGATTCATTGGTTCATTTTTGTACCAACAAGCAATTTCAATCCTGATGGCTTGAACAACAGATCCAGAAACTATTTGGAAAACATTTAAACAACAAATAAACTTAGAAAACTGTTTGAAAACAGCGTCTTTTCAAAGGCATTCCCAATGCACTTCATACATTCAAAGTTGTACATGAGGCAAATCATCCATCGACTTCTGCATTTGTGCTTTTCTTTCCATCTTTCAAACTTGAAATTTTTCTCCTCCTGTCTCAGATTTTAAACAGAGTTCTTGATGTCATGTCAACTTATTTTTCTTGATAAAGTTGAGGATTGTCTTAATATAGTTGACTGCTTTGTAAAGCTCCGCAAAAAAAAAGCCCAGTTCTGAGCCAATACAAATTATTAGCATCCTTACTAATATTATTATTATTATCCCAGAGTTTTTCCTTGGGAATCAAAGTCCAGTCAAGTCTCGACCCGAGACCTCAGACTCCCATCACCTTTTCAAGGATATGTGCGGTCAATCCAAGGAGTGCTGCCTAGAATTCCTAACTGCTCCAAATGGCCTACAAATGACCTTTGATTGTTCCCAATGTCCTTACTACCACTACCACTCTTATTATAATGATTATTACTATGAAACAGTAACGTACCAAGCTGCATCAGAACCACCAGGCATGAGAGATGGGCCATATCTAGCACCATCTTCACCTCCACTAACACCACTGCCAACAAACAGGAGACCCTTGGATTCCAGCTCCTTGCAGCGTCTCTGTGGTCAAAAAAGATGAAAAAATGGAATGGTGATATTGTAATCATAAATTTTAGGCACACAATATCAAATAGAACAGGATATTTTGAAAAAGTCCTCTTCTAAGAACCACAGTATGCAAACTATAATAAAATGTATCAGATGGGAATATCCATCAAAAGATAGACAATTCACACTGTAGGATGGATTTACAGTAACATTTCATATTAACTGATGTTGAAATATTATTATTTTAGCTCCCTTTCCTGTACCACAGTCAGAACTAAACCTCTGATTAAGTCCGTCTACAAAACAGCCCCAAAATTTTTGTTCTGAGCTTCTTCCTGTGTAACAAGATTTGGGTATGTGCTATGACTGGCCTGATAAAAATGTTATTATTGATTAATGCCAATAGGGTTAAAGGGAAATTCATTGAAGCTGGCTGGGGCCCAGAACAAAGATATCAGTGCTACAAATACTTTGCAGACATTACTACCCAGGTTTAGATTACAACTGTAATGCAGGCTAACTTTCCCTTACTAATTTTAATAATAATTACATTATGAAATCTATTCCCAAGAAAATGTGAATTTAAGTACTCACAATGGAATCCCTGTACTCTGAATTTCCACCATCAATGATAATGTCACCAGCTTCAAGAAGAGGCACCTACAAAAAAATGCAATAAAATCATCAAATTAAAAATAAAATATTCAGCTCTTAATAAGTGGTCCCTTGGGAAACAGTAAATTTTGGTTCCAGAGAATCTCAATGTTTAAGGAAATACATAACTGTTTCCCGAGGGACCAGTATTTAGGTGATTTGTTACAAAGCTGGAAATTTTGAAGCTGGAAATTCATAAAACCTAGCTGTAACAGTGGTTGTTGGGTCAACATTCACAGGTAACAAAGTACTGTTACCCTCTGGCGTCATAGATTTTGCAATGTTGCCTGCTCAGAGATTTTTGCTGGAAACAGTTTCATTGTTAGATATCATGTGACCTTGAAGTAACCAATGAGAGTAGGTGCCATACAGCTTATAGAAGTATAAATATTGTTACATGTGCATGTAAATGATGTAGCTTCATAAGGAGGGGAAAGGTTGGCGAAGAACCCTGGACTTATGCTGACCACTAAAAGGACTTGTTTCTCTGTAGCCACAGGTACAAATTCTTGGCCATGCTTGTAAATGAGTAGCCCACTTGTTTGCCTGTGGTCAACCCTCAAAAATTTTATTCAAACTTTTTGTTTCGGCTATGTAATTAGCCCAACTGAGAGTAAACAAAGGGTTTTTTCTTGTTTCACTTTATTGTTTAGAACACAGAGAAGACAGATGCAGTTATAAGTTTATCAGATGGCTTTTACCACTCTTTACACCCTTAAATGTAACATATTTCAACAAAACTTACCAGCTGCTCAATGAAAGCATCCACTGCAGGACCAGCCTTCACTAACATCATAACTCTTCTGGGCTTTTTTAGTGTGGCTACCATCTCCTTCATGGACTTAGCACCTATAACTTTTGTCCCTGAAAAAGACAATTTCTTGGTTTTACAACTACAGTGTAGGCTCAAAAATTTTTAAAATTAAAAATTCTTGAGCCTACACTGTATCACTAAAACATTCAATTTGGTGTTGTGAAATAAATAAATATTTATTATCAAGAGCAATCTAAAAAAATTTTCATTATAGATTGAAAGCGAGAAACATCTGCATTTGTCTTTTCTGGAACTTAAAAGCAAGACAAAACCATACGAAGATCAAATGTCTGAATGTGCAGAATAAGGTTAATGCTTTGCATTTTCGCTATCGATTTAAAAATAACTTCCCAGTAATCAAATAACTTCTTAAGTTAGTGAGGTACCTTTTGCTTCATTCTCTAAAAATCTGTCAACTTTTTCCACAGTTCTGTTGAATGCGCAAACCTAAACAATGAGGAGACAAAGTGATTTGTTTTAATCAGTGTTCTTGCAGTTGGTTGAACATATGTATAAGGTCCAACCTTTTACCGATGTATGTGGTGAGCAAGTAAGGCCGTTTGAGAATGGGGGTTTTTCTGTTTGCATTTTATCCTACCAACACCCCACAACAGTTACTTGTTTCTGTGTTTTAAAATGTCTGGTGTTCAGAACAGTCACATGGTTGTTTTTGTGGCTGCCATATTGTTTACAGCAGTCATCTCGGACTGACATGACTTAAATTCTTATACACACAAGTTTCTTCTTGACATAAATATTTACTAACATCCCTTATTTCAGTGTTTTGCATACTGTGCTAAATTGTCTTCAGTTAGGTGACAAAGAAAGTCATTTTTATAGCTTAGCATTTGGGCAAGCTGAAGCTAGCATTTACTAGCCCAAACATCATTTCAACTCGCCCCAAACACTTTCTGATGGGCAGAATTTATTTCAGAGTTCTACTGTAATTTGAATTCCTCAAAACACTTCACTTGCCCATCGGGCAAGTAGAGAACAGAATTCGCTAGCTCGATAACAAAATCCAATAGCCCAGGCTATCGGACACTACTTTCTTTGCACGCTGCCACGTAAGATTTTTTAAGGGCTAGATATAACATGGGTGTCACAGATGAAAAAACTTGATCTTTTACACTTCAGTGACTTTAATTCACTTGACAATAACACTTTATAAGAATGCTTCAAAAACCCTTAGAGATCAAAGCCTTTTTTCCCCTCCAAAAACCAAATCAGTTATTTTTCTTCTTTATTTGGGTTATTGCCCATGATTCAAAACTTAATTATTTTCCATTTTATGATCTTCAGAATATTGCATACTCTCAATCAAAGCAGATGAAAAAGGGCGAACAGGAAAAAATATTGGACCGGGGAAGTCTAGGTGCTAAAACCTGATTGGACATAGCACAATTCACTGAGTCATTGTGATTTCATGACAATAAACTGACGCAAACTACGCAAACTAATAATGAATGAAATTAAATAAACTTCGAAGAAAGGGCCGTAAGAAATCATCCTTTCTGTTACTGAAAGACTGCATAAATGTGTCTGTTAGGCTATTTTTCTCCCATAGAAATGCAAAAGTGCATTGAGAAAATTCAACACTTTTCAATTTTGCGTGACTTCAATTGCTATCTTATTTGTTTGCCAAGTTTCTTTTCTTTTAAATGCTAAATATAAAATATCTACGTTGCAATACGTAAACAGTTGCATTAAAGCGATATTGATTCATACTGCCAAAATTTATCGACAAGATAGGGAATGAATCTTACCACAAATCCATGATCATTCATGTTAAGGATCAGATTTTGACCCTGAAAAAAGAGTAATACATTTTAATAGTTAATCCAAGAAATGTTCAGTGGTTGGTGGCTGATTAAGTAGTAAAGAGTGCAAGGTTATTCTACTGAGCATGGTGATCCAGAAAGTCTTGTCAACATCTGAAACATTCACACACAGAGAAAGACTCACCATAACTGCCAAACCGATCAATGCAATGTCCGCTCTGCGATACAAATGAGAAGAAAGTACAGAAAGACGGTGAGTGCTTTGGTCATGTCCACAAACATTTCTCTGTGGCGGCTTTTTTGCACACTCTTCGAGATGCGACCGCTCATCGAACGCCATTCCAAAAGTCTTTAAAGTCAGTTACTGTACCACGGGCTCACACATTGTGTATGAAGTGACGAACATGAATTTTACTGAGTTAAAAATACGAGAAATGAAAAAGAAAACTCACTTTGGCTCCGCCATGCTTTCTCCCGTGATCTCCAGACGATGATACTTGTAGAAAATGGCGAAATGGGGCGGTTACAAATTGAATATTTATTCACGTCGGGGTTTACAAGACCTTTCTTTTGACCAATCACGTGCGTGCTTTAATTTTGTGCAATAAAGCGGGAAATATGCCCACACGCAAAGTGAACTTTGGACTGGACTCTGAACTTGTAGGACGAATAAATTGTACAATGTTGTACAATAATCTGTCACGGATGATATTCTTCTGCCAGGACGTTCTAAGATTGAACACACTCTATACAGTTCCAAAAAATTTTTTATTGATCACGAAGTGAGGGGAGGCGGGAAAGGCTCTCTCCTTTTCTCCTCTCGTGCGCGCGTGCAACCTCGAAATCTTCCCTATTGACACTAAAAAAATCGGCGCCTCGTACGCTAGTCTGCTACGCAGCCGTTTTTAGTGTCATCGTGCTCCTTCCCGGAGCGTTGCGTGATGACACTAAAAAAGGCTGTGTAGCAGACTACTCGTACTCAGGCTATATTACCGTAAATGACCTAATAAACGCCCGGGCCGTCTATTTAATTTTAAAGGTTCAAGTGGGGGCGTTTACCACGTAGGAGGCTTTTATTTTTATAACTGCATAGTTTAACAAGCTCAACAAAACTAGTATGCTTTCGACGAAAATTGCAACAGAGTTCAAAAATAGTGGAATTGATGCGTCTAGGCCGTCTAGAGATCCATACCGCTCTTTCAAATTCCAACATCGATTTCAGAATCCTCGCCTAGGGTTCATTGCTGCTTGTTAGTCTGTCCTTGCTTTAAACTTGACATTGAACATGATGAAATGCGCAAAACCTTGCTAATCAAGCAAGAAACTGAATGAATTGAACGATTTTGCTCCTTTTGGCCCAAAGGCAGCGTTTATTAGAAAGGGACGTCTAATAAAATTTTACTCACAGCGTAGAGGAGGCGTTTATACAACAGATAAGAGGCCTTAATTTGGAAGTGGGCGTTTATTATTCGAGCATTTTTGTGGCATTTTCCCGAAAAGTTTTTAGTAAATAAAGCTAAAAATTGAAACTTTTTTAAAAATAAATTACAACTTAAACTTGAAATTAAAAAAATTAAAATAGACATTCAAATTTCACCTTGACTGCCGTGTAGGCCAGCAGCGACCAACTCCCATAGCAGATACTAGGCTTGTGTCTAGGCTTTGATAGATTGTGCTAGCATAATTTTGGGCAAAATGTTCTGTTTCATCTTGATTATTACTGGAGCGACTACCACGTGCTTAGTTTTTTGTCATGAGTTTTGCGTTCATTAGTGACTAGCACGCCGTCCGCTTTATCCCAATTGGCGGGATAGTGAATGGCGCGCGCTAAGTTTTGTGCGTTGGTTGTTAAGTGAGGCGCGCACTCTCGGTTTTGTTTCCTAATTGCAACGTACACCAACCCCAGTCAGACTTTAACGTTCTGGTTACAGTATTAGGAAAAAGTCTTTCGCATGGTTTATCACATTTCAAGTCTTAAAACAGCCAGCAGTCAGAAGCAGTGTAAAATTGGTAGTCTTAGAAGAGAACGTTAGTGAAAATAGACTGCCGGATACTGGTAGATAATAAGGAATTTGCGGACAGTTTATTTCATTTTACAATCCGTCTACCATTCTTTCTGACTCTGAAAAAAGACGATTTGATGTTTGGTCAATTTGTCAATACCCAACGCTTGTAAATTATCTGGGCGGACGATGCATTATAATTTATAGATTTAGCCAGGGCTAAAAGTGAAGCCTCTGTTTATATACTTTTAATAAAAGCAATCAAATTTAAACTAACAAGCTCTAAGCCACTAAAAAGAAATCTTCAAGTCTCTGTTTAACTTAAGGAACCTTGGATTAGTTTACCTCTTGACGGAGGGGTTAAATAATTAAGAAAAAAATCCCGCAAACACACACGAATGAAAAAACTCTCTCAGTAAGGCAAAAGGCGCATGTTTACAGCAAAAAAATCACTTTGCATCAAGTTCAATCCGGCACAGCTAACTAGCATTATAAATAGGAAGAGCAAGCATATATTGCAATCATTAAACCCATTCCAGAGAGGATAAAGGGGACAGAGAAGGCATCCCCCATATACCCATCCTCGGAGACCCAGGGGCAGTCAGTCGGGTCGGGAAAAAAGGCGGGACGAAAGTTTTCAAGTAAGTGCGGAAGAGCCCCTGGGTACCGACTCTCACCGAACTATTTCCAAAAATTCAAGCTGATACCGGCTCCTGATTGGGCACAAAAAATGCTTTGTATTTTTGTGCCCAATCGGCGAACAGTTGCTCCTGAGTTCTTTTCGTGAGTTCGTACACGACGGCTATTGTCGCGCCACACTTGCCTGGTTCGCTCACCAAGCTTGTGCGTATAAGGAAACTTTTATTTTCTAGTTCCTAACCAGAAACAAAGGAATTACCGATGAGTTGAAAAAACGTTTGGCTTACTATCAGCAAGAGCAATTGAATTTGCCCCGAGAATATTCTGTTTTTGACGGATCACAATTAAGATGCGGCGGCGATGAGAAATTCAAATAAGTAATAGCTTGACAAGGCAAAACAACAACTTTGCACGTGCATCACGTTTTTTTGTACACTTCTTTGCCGTCAACTGCACGACTACCCGTGAAAATGCCTAACTTCAGGTTTTGCGAAAGAGTAAACAAGCAATAACAAATTCATTCTCTTCATGAACTTTGATATGGTTCAGAAGAGTTCGCTTGCATTTGACAAAGTAAGCCAGTTGGATCAGATGGGGATTTGATATCAAACTGAAAGTTTCCTGACTACGTGCATTTCTTTGGTGCATAAGCTAGACAAGCCGTGATCGAAACAATAGCCGTCATGTACAAACACACGAAAAGAACTCATTGAGATCTGTTCGCCGATTGGGCACAATAATACAAAGCATTTTTTGTGCCCAATCAGGAGCCGGCATCCGCTTGAAATTTTTGGAAATGGTCCGGTGAGAGTCAGTACCCAGGGGCTCTTTCGCCCGTAATGAAAACTTTCGTGCCGCCTTTTCTCCCGACCCGAATGACTGCCCCCTGGGTCCCCGAGGATGCCATATACCCTATTCCATAGGTAATTCGTCTCGAGTTATTTTTAACACCACACATCCCAAAGGGGATTAGACAACAGCCAATCACGTAGCGCGAATGTGTTCCGCGTGGATGACCCACGCTCAGAGCCACGCGTCCTTCACGAATTGAGGCAGAAAAAATGGCGGAAGACGAGGAGAGCAATATTGCTATTCGTTTTGTCGACGAAAACGACTAAAGAGAGATTTCTGCTAAAACTGTGTCAGCGAAACGGAAATTAAACAAGAATCGCCCTTCCTCTCTTTTTTTTACTTGTATAGAGCTAACAGTACAGCAGGGAAATCCTTAACACAGTGAATATTCTCTCAGGATCATTTACAATTTACAGTTTGAAGAGAGCAATTTCTGGTTTGATATTTATTCTTTTATTAGTCTTTTATTATTCAACAAAAATAACACTTGGCGTCCTATAATAATAATAATGATAATAATAATAATTCAATAACTTCTAGAGCGCTATTTACACTGATCAACAGCGCTTAACAACTTAAAAAAACTACAATAAAATTCAAATTGGTAAAACTAATTACATGTACATGAATATTACTTGCTACTTGCTTTATTGTACGAACGACCGGTTTCAATAGACCGGCGAAATATCTCATTTTATTAAAGCACTGAGGTTACGATACGATAACTTCGAGTTAAACTGATTTCACGGGTTGTCAAAGAGTCTAGCGATTCCCTTTTCCCAGATGAGCGCCGACTCACTTCGCCTCAATATTCAGAAATGCTCTCGATCTCTTTACGCTTTCATTACCTTTCGCCCAGCATGTTTTGCATGGCGTTTAGTCATGCGAAACCTCCACGAAACATCTACGCAGCGCGTGAGGTAACTTTATCCCGATTCTAAAAATAACTCGAGACGAATTACCTATGGAATAGGGTGTGTATGGGGGATGCCTTCTCTGTCCCATTTATCCTCTCTTGACCCATTTAATCAGAGCACAAGATCACAATTATATTTTTCTGCAAGTTACATTGACTCGTTAGATCTTGAATATTCAATAATTTCTGCAAGATGTTCTTGATTGATAGGACTCAGGGGACAGGCCTTTCTCATTGGTTGACAACACCGCCATTGTCTTTGTGTCTATAAATTTGCTCCACCATGCGGCTGGTCTGGCGGAACCGTAACAGCACGACTCAATAAACATCTCATCTGTACACCTCCGTAGAGGCAGTAATGCAAGTACATTCCATCTATTGAGTCGTTACACATTCGTTCATTTACGCAGTGATTTACTCAGTCACTCTTTCATTTACTTATTTATTAATTGTTCTGATTAGCTTCAGGTTCTTTTATCCTCAGACTATGTTCAATCTTTATTGTAGTTTTTATTGTCTTTATTTTACTTCCTTACTGTAATAAAGAGAAACCAAGCATTACTTACTGCCAAGACCAATTATTTTTTCGATGCTACTTTACAAGCTACGAAATGTTTCGGCGATTTCCTTGCTTTTTATGAGAAACGAAATTCTATCTAATGGTTTCAATACGCAACTGACAGGCCCGTTTCAAACGTTGTGCTACTACCGTGCCGAACTCAATTCATAAATCAAAAATACATTAGAATACATGTAAAAGTTTGCTAAACCGTATCTTTATTTTTGTGTTTTGTTTTCGGCAACAGCCGTTCTATTCGACTGAATTAAATTCGACGTCTGAAACCAAGTCGTGCTGGTGTCGTGCTACAGTCGAGCCAGCTTAGCACGGCAGTAGCACGACGTTTGAAACAGGCCTAAATGTACTTCCAGACTGGCCAAGTAAATTTAAGAGTGCGCAAAGATAAGCTCTGCGAGATAAAGTTGTTAAAAGCACTTACTTG